ATATTAGTATATGTGACAAGTAAAATTAGTAAAAATTCTAACTTAAAGTAGGAAAAATAAAAAAAAGAGGTACAACTATTTAACTATAAAGGATATTTAAATATATTATTAAGTAATATATACTATGTTATATAGTATTAAACCCAAGTATATATTAAATAAAAGATACAGGACAGTATAAAAACATTCAGTGCCCTTAAAAACAATCAGAAGAGCATATGGACAAGATAATCTCAGAAAGCCTTGTCCAGCTTTGACCAAAGGTGGTTTTCTGGTATGCAATTATCTAATGCACTAGTCCATTTTCAAAATGGCTATCAATGTGAGTACCTCGATCATTATTAGGTAATATCCTGCCTATTAGCTTTATTAAGAAAAATTAGAGACTTAAAAGGCCTTGTGAATCTTTCTTTTCTTAAACTCCTAAAGGTAACACCTTAAATTAGAACTGAGATATACTTACCAGGTACAGATGTTCACATTGTGGCTACCTATGATGTTAGCCGTTATTAGAGGCCTATATACATGTCAATTTGACTAGGTCATTGTGAATCTGAATTTAAAACTCATTTAGAAAATGAAAAATAACTGAGAAACGCCCTCATTATATTCCTGTATTTTACAAAAATAAAAATTGCAAGTATTTTAGATGTATGAACATCAGGAAATGTTGGAATTTAATTTATATATTCGACCTACCAAGAGACAAAGGACTGTTACTCTTTTCTCACTAAAAAACTCTGACGCTTCAAAACTTAACACTTAGAGAAAAAGTTTAACTGAACTGGTCTTAAACCAAGTATAAACAAATAATCTAAAACAAAAATATTTGAAACCAGATGAGGTTTACCCAAACCATGACATACCCAAACATGCCCAATGGAAAAAGACAAACTGCTAACATACAACCTGTCTTTTCATTCCCCTAAGTCTGTATGTTCCTCTCCTTAGCAGTAACTGTAATTCTTAAATTTTAAAGAATTTTTGGAAAACTACAAATCCTCTCACCCCCAAAAATGAACACACAAAATTTTACATGCAATTTCAAGGAGTTTGCCCATTTCTGGAAACCCATCCATGCATCCCACAGGGACCCCAAAGCCCCAGTCTAAGAACTCCTGCCATATAGCAGATTTTACTTTTCTGTATTCATAATATACACTTAGGTTAGGTTTGTAAATTAAAATTTTCTCTACCTCCCTTGCTCTTCTTCCTACCCCTTTTCCTCCCAACCTCTCTAGCATATCTATGGTCATGAATGAATTCACAGTTGAATGAAAAAACAGTGTTGAGTAACATCATTAAATGTAGAATAAAAGATCCAAGTGGGAACCCCAATATGCTACTTAACCAGATGTATGACCTCGGACAAGTCAGTTAATCTCACTTGATCTCAATGTGTTCCCCTGTAATACCAGAGTAACAGTACAATCGGCTATTTAATCTGATAACAGAGGCAAAGTTCCCAGTACACAGGGGGCTTTCAGTGCTGGCTCCTTCTTCCTATTTGAGAGGATCATCCCTAAAGAATTTACAGATTATGGATAGCAGAGCAGAGCAGAGACTTACGTAATTTTAGAGTTTGTTGCATGTATTTTTTCTAGTGAATGTGATGTAGTGAAGATGAAAGAAAGGAAAAGATGGGGAAGGGAAAGTTTAAAAAATGAAACAGGCTATAAGCTACTAAAGTAAGAATATAAACTGAACTTTATCAAAATACAAAACTTCCGTGTGTCAAAGGACACTATCTGGAAAGTAAAGACATAACCCACAGAATGGGGAAAAAATATTTGCAAATCATAGATCCAACAAAGGTCTAGTATTCAGAATATATAAAGAACTCTTATAACTCAACAATAAAAAGACAACCTTATTTTTAAATCGGCAAAGCACTTGAATAAACATTTCTCCAAAGAAGATACACAAATGGCCAATATGTACAGAAAAAGACGTTCAATATCTTTAGCCATTTGAAAAAAGCAAATCAAAGCCACAGTAAGATACCACTTCACACCTAGTAGGATGGTTATAATAAAAACTGGAAAGAAGCAAAGTGTTTGCCAGGATGTGGAGAAATTGGAAGCTTCATACATTACTGATGGGAATATAAACTGCCATTTTTGAAGATATTTGGCAGTTCCTCAAAATGTCAAACATAGAGTTACCATACGACCCAGCATTCCACTCCTAGGTATGTACTCAAGAGAACTGAAAATATATGGTCATACAAAAACCTGTACATAAATGTTCACAGCAGCATTGTTCAGAACAGCCAAAACGTGGAAGCAATCCAAATATACATCAACTGGTAATGAATGTATATACATAAAATGTATATCCACACAACAGAATACTATCGGGTCATAAAAAGTTGAATTAAGTACTCATACATTGTACAATATGGATGAATCCTGAAAACATTATGCTAAGTGAAAGAAGCCAGACTCCAAAGTCTATACACTGTATGACTCCTTTTATCTGAAAAGGTCAGAATAAACAAATCCCTGGAGACAAAATAAATTAGTGGTTGAGAGGATCTAGGATTAGGGAAGAGTAGGGAGTGATTGCTAACAGGTTCCATGTTTCTTTTTGGGCTGCAGAAAATGTTTTGGAAACAGATACTGGTGATGGTTGCACAACCTTCTGAACATACTAAAAAACACTGAACTGTACACTTTAAAATGGTGAATTATATGGTAGATGACCAATATAAATAAATAAATATGTAAGTAAATGAAGTGAAATAGGCTATCAGGACACTAGTAGTCCGAAGACAATATGAAATGAAAGATTATCTGAAAATTAGGTACTTTATATTAAAATGACATTATTGATTTACTGGTTAGGTCATAAGTGATGAACTGGGCTCTAACAGCAGTGATGCAGTGAGACTGACTGGAAATTTTACAACCATCCACAGTGCCGAGAGTCCGTGGATCTAGGCCGGCTCTATCTGGGGCTCTTCCATACTGCTTAGCAAGTTATTTTACCTTTAAACTCCCAGTTTTCTTTACTGTACAATTAGGGGATTCCCTTCCACCACGGACATTTACTGTTTGTGCTGATTATTTATTTTCATTCTCTTGCCTAGTTCATCTGGTTACCTCCTGTCACACAGTATTTCCAGCCTTTTCAACATTAAGGGCTATTGTACACTCCCCTCTCCCCACGCCCCGCCATGTTCCCATGGAGCACTGTTTTTAAAAGTTGTGTCTAATTTAAAAGTTGTGTCTAAGAATTTGCATTTAGGTCATAATTTTTTTTTATTTTTTACTAGCCAAATACAAAAAAGCGGTCTATCATAACTTTTTGGTTAGACTGTCTAGTTTTTACCAGAATTTCTATTTGACTTCCTGAACACTAAAATGAGCTTGTTATTCTCAGGTCGGGGACACCTGGGTTAAAGGAATGTATCACCTACAATCTCCAAATGAGTATGGACACTAAATGGGACTGAGCCCATAGCCTAAACTCTAGTTAATCAGTAACTTTTTCCAAAAACAACACTGGGTCCACAAGACTTTCTCAGAGGAGAGACATGACCACACTTAACACGATTCCTTGGATGATTCTATTCATTCTTCTGCCTCAGTCATAACACACTTAAGATGC